TGACGCTGACATCTCAGACCAGCACTCTCAGCAATGAATTGTTTCCATGGTCACTTTTTGCAAAGTTAAAGTTCTAGTTTACTAGAACCTGTTTTATTAAACACCTAGAAAAACTTAATGTGTCCTGTCTACATTTGTGCATTCCATGACCAGGCTGCTGATGAGGGTATCCAAGTGACTCTAAGAAGACACAATCAGTAGTAGACTGAGGATAGGGACAGATATATAGAAATAGATGAGACACATGATAGATGATGATGATAGATAGATAAATGGTAGACAGGTAAGTAGATGATAGATAGTAATGATGGAGTAGATGATGGATGGCTGGAGAGTCAGATGATACAGACAGATGCATTAATCTCTCTCTCTCTCTCTATATATATATATATATACATATACATATATTATATATATTACATATATATATAATAGAAGATAGGTATGTAAACGATAATTGAGTGGATGAGGTAGAAGAGTGTGAGGTACTGTGTATCTGCATATCTTTTCCATCAGGAACAAGATTCCTGCCTCAGCACAGCAGAAGCACATTCTAGTCTCACTTTTTTGTCTTATCCTTCTCCCCTGTCAAACTCAAAATCTCGATTATAACTAAATCTGCAGATTTTATTAGCCTCTCTGATGATCTTCACTAACTGGGATGAAACCTTAAACTGGAAGGAAGGGATGTGCTCACAGAAGCTCATCACTTCCAAGTTTCCAGTGTGTCCAGGGTCCATATCTTTCTTCTAAGCCTTCTGTCAAGTACCAGAAAGAAGGGGGGGAAAAAAAGATCACCAGGTGTTAATGCATTATGGTGTGGATATGAGGTGTCCACCCAAGGTTCTTCTTAATGCAGGACTATTCAGAGGTAAGTGATTAGATTACTAGAGCTGTAAGCCAATCGGTTCGTCCTGGTTTGAATGGACTGAGTGGTAACTATAGGCAGGTGGGATGTGGTGGAGGAGTGAGTCACTCGGTGTGGGTCCTGGAAGGGCATATATCCCTGGAAGCCCTCCCCATCACCCTCCCCACCCCCTCTGCTTCCTGACCCCACCATGAGCTGAGCAGTTTTTCTCCTCTGGGCTGCCACATCTTAGACCCAGAGCAATGGAGTCAGCCATCTATGGACTGAGACCTCTGAAAATGTGAGCCTCAAATAAACTTTTCCCTCAAAGTTGTTCTAGTTAGGTATTTTGGTCACAGCAATGGAAAAGCTGACTGAATCAAAACATAAAATTTGTTGGTTTTTTTCCCCTAGAGATGTTCCTTTCTTAGATTCCAGAACCCAGGCTGCCCAAAAGCACAGTTACAGAGCAGCTACCAGCTCAATTCATGGAAAAGGATTCCTCAGACTCCCTGCTTGAATTGAAATGATACGCACCCCCCATGCCCCCACTGTCACATGATGCAACAAATCTCATGATCCTACACAGGTAAATAGTTTGTCCATCTTTTGGGGACCCTGACACCCTGGGCATGAGAGAAGAAGGATCTGGGATGGAAATGGACGGCAATGATCCCACTGAGCCTGCAGGTTTGGTTTATGATAAACATCATCGCTGACATCTATACCTAAGAGGCCCCACCCTCCATGAGCCTGGCCCCACACATCTCATTAAATGTCTCGGATGTTGAGGGACAAGTGCTCCAACCTGAGTTCATTCATAGGAGATGCCTACAGCTGACTGGACAATCTACTGACTCTGTTTCCACTTTCTCACGGGTCACCTACCTCTTCTCGAGGCACCCATTCTAGAATGGAGGCCAGACATGGACTGACCTCTGGCTCCGTCCAGACCTCACTCAAGTCTCACACACATGAGAGACTTTGGCAATCATTGTGTCAGGAGCTTCCTCCTCTCCAGCACATGGCTCTCTCAGATGGAGCTCAGACCTCACTTCACAGCCTGCGGCCAACCTCTCCAGAGAGCACTCTGCATCCCGCCCACAGACGTTATCTAGCTCTAGCAGACCATGCAGAGGGAAAGGGAAACAACCCTCACTTTACATTTTCTGAAGAAACAAAAGTGTTTAAATTTCTAATACCATCAATGGCCCAGAAAAACAACGTACTCTGACTTAGCTTCAATTACCTCATTTTCTTTAAACAAAATGGAATCTGAAGCTACACAGAGGTTCTGGTGCTGAAGGAAGAGCATTAGCATAAATACTGGCTTGGTGGAACTTATATTTTTCTTGAACTCACAGAACTGAAGCAAGCGCTTGCTTTTTTCTTTCTTTCTTCTTGCTGCTTGCATTTTCTAAACATCAGCAAAAAACCACTTTTGTCATCAGAAAACTGCTCTGGCCTGGCTTTTAAGTTTGGTTGCTGGCACCCATCAGAGAATTGATGAGGAGTAACTATTTTTTGATTTGAAAAAATCATTTATTAAATTAAAATGGCCAGCCCCTACAGAGAAGCTGAGGCCAAAGTCCTGTTGTCTGTTAGCACAGCTCGCAGATAACAGAGCTCCTGTTGACAACTGGAATGTGCTATGCCAACCAGGCTTGCAGCCAACTTTGAAGAAACCCACCCATTCACTGTATTTTCCCCTTCTGTGCCTGTAACCTGTCACTCATAACCAACACAGGCAGACAGCATGGATCTGATAGCAGTCCATCCCTATGCCATATCATATTGAGGCAGAAATTTTTATGCCTAATTCTGGCTTCGTTTCTTTTTGGATGGAGTTTCCTAACTGCAGGGATCTTCATTCTGTACCAATGTATACATTCAGGGTTAACCAGTGGTGCAACCATTTTGGTACACCCAGAGCAGTGCTGGATATGCTGCCCTTGCCCACAATAATCATTCTCTCTCTCTCTCTCTCTCTTTTTTTTTTTTTTTTGGTGGTGGTGGGGGAGCAGCTGGGTACTGAGAATTGAACTCAGGGGCACCCACCTCTGAGCCACATCTCCAGCCCTAGTTTGTATTTTATTTAGAGACAGGGTCTCGCTGAGTTGCTTAGCGCCTCACTGTTGCTGAGGATGGCTTTGAACTTGTGATTCTCCTGCCTCAGTTTCCCCAGACACTGGGATTACAGGTATCACTGCGCCTGGCCACCATTTTTCTTTAGCTATGAATCTATTATCTATGGAGTCCACTTGCTACTCAGAATGAGCACAATCTACAATGCCTCGCTGTATTAAAATGAAATTAGCTCCAATCTGCTGCTGAGTAAGCGTGGCCCAAAGGCCACATCCAATGGCCAGGGTTGCACAAGACTCTCAGTGTAGATGTGGGCACTGCCTGTGTCGGCCTTTGGTGTTCCATTCAACCATGGTGCTGAAAGTGTCCTTCCCGCCTTTCTGTTCCTTCATCCCCCAGACTCTCGATGTTCCAACCTGCCTTACATCTGCAGCAGGTTACTGGGTCACTTTCCCACTCACTGGATGTGACCCCAATGCTATCTCGGCGTCTACGCCAGCCCTTGCCATGGCTTGTGGGACACACCAGTCACATTCCATTCATCTTCTCATCTTTCCCCTTGGCTGGAAGCTCTCTTAGGGATGGGACCACCTGTCAAATATTCTCTGTGCAAAATGCTCCCACAGAAATAACCACAATAGCCCAATAGATCCATTTCTTACAGGTTTCCTTTGAACCACAGGACCCACATTCTCCCTGAAACAGACGTGTCTCCCAAAATATATGGAAGTTTTTAACTACTAAGACCACCAATGGCCTCTGACCATTTCTCTTTTAAGAAAATGACACTTGAAACCACAGAGACGTTCTTGGGCTAAGGAAGATGCTTCAGCATAGGGTCACTCTCAGGGGTCCCTGTCACCCAGAGCTTCAAGGCCATGTTGCCTAGAATGCTTTCAAAGGCCTCCCACAGTGGGCCTCCTCTGATCTGCTCACTGAAGCACGGTGCTGGCCAGACTCCCCTGTTTTTCTGTTCAAATGTAACATACACTTTCGTATTTGTTACTTATCACCAGAGTTAAGTCCCTGTCCTCCAGCCATACCTGACCTTCCTTTGTCAAAAGGTCACCCGTGTGACCTTGCCTTTGCTGCACAATGAAGACTGTACGTACTCTGTCCAGGCCAGATCAAATGTCACCTGTCATATTTTTGTCACTTCCTCCCCACACTGCTCCCATCTCTTTCTAAAAATCCCTTCCAGTTGGCGTGGCTTTGCTTCACATCATCTCCTAGTAATAACATGAAACCCAGAGAGAGACCAGAGGGGGTCTGTTTTTGAACCAGCAGTTCAGACAGCACCTGGCTCCAAGATAAATGGACTGCTGTGGCCACAAAATTTAAACAAAACGAAAAAACATTCATCTGGGTGTAGTAACAATAAAGGGAGCCAACAATAAAGGGAGCTTTCTCAAGAGAAAGCACCAACCATGCAGAAATACAGAGCAGAGACAGACTTACAAGAAGAGTCCAGAAAATGTCTGGGATTCCTAAAGCACCACAGCGAGAAGACCTCTGACATCCTCAGGATCTGCCTCTATCTGCAGGTCACCTCTCAAGGTCAGGAGAGAAATGGGAAGCCCCTTCCCAGTGACGTGTGGCTCCAGTTTTGCTGGACAAAGCCATGGCACAAATTTCACTCATGTACTCAGAGACCCGTTAAAGTGCCGTGGAAGAAGGGGATAAAAAAGGTCCCCATGAGCCATCCAAGGACTCGGCTGAGGAGCAACGTGCTCTCGGCTGCCTCCTGAGGTCCTCTGTGCCTTTCCAAGCTGGATCCTCCTTAAGAAGCTCCAGCTTCTTGGCTGAAGCCCTCGCTTTATTCCTTCTCCTGTCTTCTCAAAGCACATGTTCCCAAACGTCATGGGAGGAAAGGCGGTCTGCTAGGCTGTGTGCCTTTCGTGGGCAGGAACGTCATTTGTCTCTAGCTGTCAGTCCTTGCCATGAAACCCAGGAGGTGCTGGATAAATGAGAACTGAACTGACTCAAATGTCTAGGGCCTCCTCACATCGCGCCTGGGGCCCACAGGTCCTGTACACATAAGCCGACCGAGATGGTGTCTGTGTTTTACCTCTTTAAGAACCAGCACACATTTGCCGGGCCCCACCGACTGAGGTAGCTCCGCGATCCTGCCTTTGTTCAGGTAGGGGCCTGAGAAACACCGGTGGTTGATGAACAGCTGCGGGCAGCAGTACTTCCCATTGACGGTTCCTGCGGGGGAGACAACACAGCAGAGGCTTTGGATCTCATCTCTGGGACTTGGGGGACAAGGAGGCACATGCTTGATCTGCTAGTCAGCAGAAGTCACCTGGAGTTGCTGTCCAGGGTCTTGACTGATGGGACTCCAGAGTTACAACAGAAAGAGGACTGTGAACAGTCAGGACCCCAGGGCCAGCACTGTTGGAATCCTAATTAGGGAGCCTCACTCTGTTCCAAATTGTGACACAGTGGAGAAAAACAGATGATTTTCTTCTTTGGAGAAAGAGGCACGGGTATCCTAACATCAGGATGTTTTATAATCATAATGATACCTTAAAAGTTACAATGATTTTTTTCCACCATACTCACAAATTTCACTATTGACAGGGCAGCATTCAAGATACACAGAGCTACAAAGACTACGATGATGTCAACCCAGCCATCACACAGCTCAAGCAGAAACTCACTCTGGCTTCCATCTGCCCTGTTCTTAGTCTTCCAACTTCAACAGTGAACAGGGCACACTGTTGGTTTTACTCTATCTAAAGGTGCCATAGCAAAAAGTAGAGTGATTAAATGATAAGTTCTCACTCTAATGTTTCTTGATGTTTATAAAACAGAATGAGGTTCTACTTTTGGCTAAGAGACTCCCTCTCACTGCAGCTCCTGCCCCCAAGGTAAGCTACACCATCAGCGGTATTTCTGGACAAGTATTGCTATTAATTCGGGATGGCAATGTGACAGGAAGTCCTGTTTTTCATAAAACTCAATGGGTAGGAGGTAGACATGTTATTCTTCTGGATATAAGAGGAAAGGAGTGAAATTACCATTGTAGAATATGAAAGTGTAGCTTGTATGGTGCCTTTAAGATCATTCTGAATTTTGAATTCAATATCACAGGCAAAATCAAATTCACAAGTGCATTTATACATAAATTTTTGGTAGGATTATGCTGCCCAAACCTTAGGAAAAAAACATTTTTAGTTAAGTCTACTCATAAAACTGCTCTGTTCAAAACAAAGATGAGTTCAACTAATAGGACTCTTCTGTGGCAAATAGTTTTTAATCCTGGAATTCAGAGTGGATTTCGTTTTAGCATAGAAAACAAAATTCTTAATCAAGTATTACTCAATGCAAAAACATGTCTGCTGTCAAACAATAGCTCACAGAAGACCTCACAACCAGCTATTCAAACTCAGGATTTTAACAAAGAATTCAAAAGCCAGTGGGGACTTAAGGAATAATCACTAAGGTGAAAATTGAAGTGACACTGGGACAAAATGTCAAAAAAGGAGTGCCTAATGCTGATATTTTCATCGCTTTCCTGTCCTGCATGGACATCCATATATACTACACCATACTAAGCTGGCTCCTAATTCCAACCAGCATGTGGATCCTTTCCTGCAGATCGGGAGACCTCTCTAGGGCTTATTGGCCAAGAACAGAAGAGAAGAGGGAAAGCTACATTAGTTTAGAAATTTTAAAAAGGCAGCTACCTGTTAATGAGTTGTACTAGAAAAAGGAGAATAGACTCAAAAGTTGAGAGATACTCATGGAGACCTAAAAATACATGCATGTCTCCAGTCACAGCTACACACTGGAAGGGACAGAAAGCCCTTGATGGGACCCAATTACCTGTGGAGTCCAGGTGAGGGAATAAGCAAAGGTCATGAGGTATTTTCTCAACAGGCACTGTGGATGGCGATCTGTGGATAAAAAGAGCAAACGACCATGGGTCACAGGCTTTTGAAGAAACAAGTACATTCTGAAGTTTTCTCAGAATATAAAGTGAATATTTCAGAAATCAAAGACAAGAGCATTATAAGATAGGATGTGTACGTAAGAATGTTCCAGCAAGACCAGATAAAAAGACCCTTTCAGAAAAGTTACTCTCAAATCCTTCTAATGACCAGAAAAAGCAGGAGGCACATCTGCCTCTGAGTAGCCATCACTGACCACGAGTTTCTTCTGGGTTGCTGCTGGGCATGTCTCTTGTCATAGAACTGTCATAACAGCTTCAATTTTATATTAGACAAGAGGAAAAATACACTTACATTTAATTAAAGTCAGACTTTTCCTCTGTGGTGACTAATTGAAAACCACTTTCTACTAACCCCCGAGTTTCTGACTTCTGTGAATTACAGCCACACTAAAAAGGAGAACTTAGAAAAATCCTATAAACTGATGATTCCTAAAATGTGAAACAGGCTTACTCTAACAGAGCTCTGTTATAGTTCAGTTTGTTTGTTTGTTTATGGACTCATTTTGCAATCCTGAAGATTGAACCCAGGGCCCCTGTACCCCTGAGCCACATCCCCAGCCCTTTTTACTTTGTGTTTTGAGATAGGTTCTTGATAAAAGTTGTCCAGACTGGCCTTGAACTTGAAATTCTGCTGCCTCAGCTTCCTGAGTTGCTGGGATTACAGGCATGGGCCAACATGCTGGGCTGACAGCTCAGTTTAAAAGATAGCAAATAAATATATTTTCTGAAACATAGAACTGAGACAGGTTTCACAGGGACCCTCAGGCTGGCCCGCATGGAAACCACACAGCTGAAAAGCTTCATATAATCACAGCAGACATCACAATCCATCGTAGAGGAGTCATCTACAGCAATGGTTCTCAAAGTGTGGTGCCCAAGCTCACAGTGTTGGCATCACCCTGGAACTTGTTAGAAATGCAGAACCTCAGGCCTGGACATCCTGAATCAGAAATACTGGGACTGGGACCTAGCAACCTTTGTTTTTCCCAAGCTCTCCACATGACTGACATATGTAAAGAGTGAGAACCATTCATCCATAGACTACAAATTTGGATTCGATTTTGGGTCTATTATTAATCCCTTTACTTCATGTTAGGTGGATAAAATGAAGTTGGGTTATGAGTCTGTCACACTATGTTTTAGAAATAAATGCATTAAAAAAATCCACAAAACTGTTATTCAAATAACAATGCTGCTCTTGCTCAGTTTCACTGCATTTAAATTTAAACCTAGGTTTGTGATAAACGCTGGTTGCAGTTAACTTTCTATGCATGTATTTTTATTGATCTAAGAAAACACAATTACTTGCAATGGAATGTACATTTTGGTGTATTGTAAATATTTCACAACATATATAAGGGTCAGCAGCCAGTTATAACTTTTCAGAGACATACTGCTGCACGTCCACTCTCGCCCAAACCCTCTTTCCTCCTAACAGTACAAGTGAAATGGGTCGAGGAGGGGTAATCTACCTTTGTTCAATAATTCAAATTCCATAATCTTTTTTTCACATGGGAATCTAATTTAATCTTCACAAAACCCTAAAAAATAGGTATTTACCAGGGTGGCTACTGAGATATGGAGAACTAAAGCAGCTGGCTCATGTGCACCCAGTGGGGAAGCAGCAGAGTTGGGGTGACACTGAGTCCGTTCTTTGTCTCCAGTCCTGGTCATGGCTGAAGAGGTGGGGAGGAATCTCCAGCTCAGGGAGAGGAGCTGTGCTTCCAAACCACACTGTCACACAGGTCCCTGAGGGTACCCAGAGTCAGTGAGTGGGTTTGGGATAATTTTCGGGGGTGAAACAGAAAGTGAGCAATGACAATCAGGACTACAAGTTCCTCTGGGAGCTGACACTGCATTTTGCACATCGTAGGTGCACAATAAGTAATAGCAGCTACACTTGACTGTCACTTTTACTCCATACCACTCGTAGCTACTCTCTAAGAACAAGTCAAACTTCCTATCCTCTACAAAGAAACTTTACAATTTATCATACGGTTTTGGAGAAAAATGAAAAAAAAAATAATCAACGTACTGTTTTTCTGGCTGCACAACTGCAATCTTTCTCTTCTTTTGGGCTATAGACAGACAAAATATAGGAAGAGAAAAAGAAAATCACATTGTTAGTTAGTGGGACAGATGTATTTTTAAAAAATGACTTAGTGTAAGGATATGTCAATTTTAAAGCAGGACTTTAAATACTGAGGAGTTATTGTAGTCAAGCCACAATTTTATATTAATTTCTTCTAGCATAAAACAGGAAGTCATCAGACAAGAGATCTTAATAGAACCTGGTGCATTTAATCTTATCACTACGCTGGCTACTTTATTTTGAAAGGTGCTTTTAATGAGAAAGAAAAAAAGAGTACATCAGTGAACATGTGAAGATAAACTGTTGCAAGCATGATGATCCAGAATGATTTTTCCCCTCAGAAGCTGTGATAAGGCAAATAATGCTGCATTGACAGTGTCCCCTAGATGAGCCCCAGAGGCCTGCATTTAAACTAGAATATTGAATTACTGGAAGAAGTAGTAGTGGTTAACAAATACATCTAGTCAAATATTGACATAAATCAGCAAATAATGATATTTTTGGATAAAAACACAGTTTATATCTCTATCCAATTATATTTCTATATTACTATCACCTTAACGAAAATAGACCAGAGCTTTTGGCACCTATTAATCTTGGCTCAGATAATCCTGTGTCTTCTGATGTAAGCATAAATTAATTCCACCAGTACTTCAAAAGCTGTGAGAGTCTGGCAAGACAGAGTCAGAGTTTGCCTGCTCACAGCAAAAATGTATGGTTAATAAATGAATGCAAGAATTAATTAAATACTTGACAAAATCTTTACCTATTCTTGACTTTATTTGGCATTTGATTCTAGCTGTTACTTTAAAAAGTATAAACTTTTATGATCTCCAAGGTAAAAAAAAAAAAAAAAAAGGAGTATAGAACGACTTGCCTAACTCAGTCTGGGGCTGGAGGTGGGAAGCCTGATTATATGGTAGCCTGGTAAGGAGCCAAGCACAGCAGAAAAATAAAGCAGAAACACTACAATGTTTCATCCAACATGTGATTTTGCTCCAGAAAAACTAAAAGCACTTGCAGCCCCCCACATCCATGTGCAAGAGGGAGGAAAAAGATACAGGATGCTATTAAGTCTTATCTAAGGGAAAACAAGGACAAAAAGGACTGAATCCAACCCCCTGGCAGACCTCGGGGAAGATATTACTTGATAAGTTTAAGCCAGTTAGAGTTTTATCTTCCCCTCACTTTAAAACATTTTTAATCAATGAATGTTCTTTGGGTCTTAGGGACACACTCTCACCACTTTTGATGCAGATTCTTAACCAGCTCGGTAGTGAGTAAAGCACAGCATTCTAAACTGCTCTTGGTGAATATGGGGGGAAGGAAATCCTTCAAAATCTGTGGACATCAGGGATGCGAAGCCCATTATGTGATAGAACTTTGTTCATAGCTATGTCTGGAGAAGAAATGGAAGTTACCATGGAACAGGGTGCCGAGAAGAAGTAGAGATGGCATGCAAATTCTATAAAGAAAATATCGGAAATTGCAATCTTTTTAATGGAAAGGTGAAGCCCACAATCTTTGAGAACTCATAGCCTTTGATGTGCTTTAGGGTGGGATAACAAATGCAAAGATTTATTAGGATTTTGAAGCAGTACCATCCTCACCTATAATAACATGTTAAAACCACCACTGTTGTATGTATTAAAATGTACATGAGTGTTTGTGTTTGTGTGTTTGTGTGTCTGTGTGTGCATACTGTTGTAACAAATATGGACACTGGTTTTATTGGGTATTTCTGTGATCACAAGGATGTGAGTAACACACTTTTTAATATACAGTTGAAATCTCACCAACTAATTAGTGCTATGAGTAGGTTCAATATTTCTAAGTATTTCCGTAAATTATTGGACTATGTATGATTCCTTTACAGGACATTGCAAGAGAAAAATTAGATCTTTCTAAGAAATGATAATACAAAAACATGGTATCTAATTTAATTTTTATCCCATCAACATTATAGATTGCACATGAAACTGAGAGTGAAGATTTAAGATATATCTATTTTTTTCTATTTATCTCTCTGGGACTCTCAATGGCCTCCTTACTTGGATCGTCAACCTATGAAATGCATCTGAATGTTACTCTCATGCACATAATTGAAGGATAACAGAGAAAAAATTGGTGTTATTTGGGCCATCTAAAATCTTTCTCTACTTTTTATGACTTTCCATACAAAATTACCTAGCTATTCACCAGATCACACATTATCCACCATCTATTTAACTGGGCAACACTCACAGACTGTTTTGTGTGGTGTCGTCAAAGGGTAAGAATTAGCTTCACACCAGCCCACTGGGAAGATATCCATGGATTCCACATCCACAATGACCTCTGGCACCGGAGTCTGCAGACCTACAGGGCAAGAAACAGAGACAATAGGTACCAAAAGCAGAGCATCTCTAGGACTGAGAAACATGGTCCTTCAAATGTTAAAAAAAAAAAAAAATCAATAGTATTTCAGATATGACTTTAAGGAGTCTATAGTCTTGTGATAGATATAAATGTTAGAATTATACAACAGAGAACAGATAAAGGGGTTCCAAAAAAGTGGGAGTTTGGAAAAGAGAGACACTTCCTCCTGAAGATGGGGAGGGAGAAGGACTTGGGAGACAATGGATCAGAGCCAAGTTCTCTGGAAGGAATAGTGCCTCCTTCTCTAAGGGCAGCTATGAAATTGAGAAAATGGGGGAGCTTGGGGTGGAGGCCACAGGGCACACACGTAAGCCACCATGCCATGTTTCCCCCAAGTCCAAGCAAAGATCACCTCAATAGTCCAACATGACAGCTCAAAACGGCTGCTGATGGATTCCAGTGATTAGGAGCCCAGCCAGGTGAGGAGGCAGTGCTTCCAAGGAACTTGTTAACTTCCCAGCTTGACCCGAGATGCTGATTTTGAACTTGGTTGTGGTCTGCAGAGTCTGGCCAAGTCACACCAAAGTTGTTTATGCAGGAATGTCTTTTTAGGGGGAATCTGTCCAACCACCACGTCCTGTCTCATAAACCCAATCATGCCTTGTGATAAACTGGCATCACAACCAGGAAAATAAAAAGACCAGAAATCTGTATACAACAGCAGTGTATGTTTCAAGGAGGGCTGGCCACACAACAAATTTGGAACCCAGCCCACTTGTTATAAGAAGAAAATTCTACCCTGGATCAATAGTTCTTAAGGAAAAACACGGCTAGGGAGAAACTCCTGAACCAAGAATCAAAAGATAAGAGCTGTTTATAGAGCGCGATTCCCGGGCTCTGACCTCTTAATCTAGTATGCTTTGGTTTCCTGAGAACCAAGGTGAAAACACCACAGTAAACCCTGTTAGACTCTGTGTCACCACATGTCACCTGATAAATGTGGAATCAACCACCCCTCCCCCCATGAAATTATCATTTCAGGAAACTAACTATACAAGATGGTCCTAACAGCACCGTTAGCACCACGACTCCTCCTAACTCCTCACCCTAAAGCAGATACCGTGAAAACCAAGCATGTTATTTGGTAAGGACAAGCTGCTAATTCAGTGTGAAATCAATGTACTGTTGAATATCTAGAACCCCAATACATACATGTTATCATTCGTTATTCTGATTTTGACTGGTTCTCCAAGAAACCAACCAACTTTCTATATGCTTAATTTTATAATTTCAAGGATATATAAGTTAAAGGAATGGAAAAAGTTTTATAGGGCTTATTTCTCAATGAAGTGAACAGAAATCATTTCTGTCTAATATCATAAGATTTGGTCAGTATTGAATCTAATTGCTAAAGGAATCATCAAGTCAACATCAAACAGTAGGTTCAAATAGACCAAAGATGAAGACGCTCCCCGCAGCTTCCAACGAGGCTGTGACTGCCCTGTCCTGCAGGGCTCCCGAGTCTCCAGAGGACCAGGGCAAGGGCCCGGCAACACTTCCCAGTACCAGGTTGCTTGTTTCTTAGCTATGTGATCATTTTGCTAACAGGTTAAATTCATTCACCAAAAGTGTTCGTATTTCCAGATTTGTGTTTAGTTACAAATAAGATTTTCAATGTCATTCGAAGCAGCACTTCAAAAGGAAGCATATAGTGAACTTCAGCTTTAAGTTCTTCCTAAACTGTCTTTCATCTCTAATGTTCTGTTGGTGCAAACATCACATCATATTAATGCTTTAGTATATACTTACATATGATGAATGCATTAACAAGGCCACACATTACAGCTGTTTTACCATCTTTACAATTGTCTGATCATGCTTCCCATTCAATTGAGCTTAGAGAGGCCAGCCCCCCTTTTCTCAAGAGACTTAATAGCCCTACCTTCCTTCCATCCCAATCTAGACTATTAAGGCATCTATTAAGTGAGAGTGGATAGAAACATGGGTGATTTAACAACCAGGAAAGTTTTCCCAACCCCCCAAAACTTTTCAAGTCCTATTCTTATTTCCTTGAATCAACCTTATAAACCTAGATAACTCTGACCAGACTCAGAATATATCTTTAAAAAAAAATCATTATTTTCCAAGTTGGCGACCCAATAGCTTACAAAATTATCCACTGAAATGAGCACAAAGCTCCTCCTTGCTCATTCCAGGATACATGCAAAGCACCTAGGCAAAACTGGATGTGTCACTAAAGATCAATTCATTTTTATCATTTTATAGAAAAAATCCCTTATGAATAACTCAAAATCATACTCAATTGTCTAAACTGCAACTATCAGTACAGATTCCACATGTCCAATCTTAACCAGAACATTCATCTCAAAATTCATTAGAAAACTGAAATTTCCTTCTATGGTAAAATGTATAAAAAAAAGCTAGGGTCTGTCCAAATGATGGAATGTTCCCCAGATATAAAAAAGAATGAGAAACCTGTGTATAAACTTACATGTAAACATCTTCAAGATGTATTGTGAAGTAAGAAAAAGTATGCAAGCAGAGTGTGCACTTACCTATTTGGTAAGGGGGAAATAACATATATTCATATGTGCATGAAACAAATCTGGAGGAAAATGCAAAATACTAACACTGGGAAAGGAACCATGCTGCCAGGGAACAGCGAATCACAGAGCAGGACGGAGAATATGACCAAAGATACTTTTACTGTTTATGTGCCTTTGCCAGTTATCTATTTCACAGCCACAACTTCATAACCTCCAAAATGACAATACCACAACAAAAGACATCCCGAGAAGAAAGGAAGAACCCTGCACATAAATGTGGTATTTCCACTGAGATCAGACTAATAAGATAAAGTTACCATTAAAGAAAATAAAACTAAGCAACAACGAATCATTTCACTGCTACAAGATACTCCACACTCACAAAATAAACTGATAAGAACATGACTTTTGTGAGAATCACAGTGGAACCTTTAAAGTAATTCTGTTTTTTCCCATTTTCAGAGGATTTTGTTCTCAATTCAGCAAATGACAAAGTTCTCCTTGTCCTTGCTGTTGGAGAGGCTTTGTAGGACAGCTCAACCCAACCAAAGAACAGTGCTTTCAGGTCAATGACCTATTCTAGCCAGAAGGTTAGGATAAAAAAAATGGAGATGACCTGGAAGGACACTTCGGTGTGTTCCCAGGAACACAATCCTAGCTGACTCCATGCAGTTATATAAATTACCTCACTTTCAGCAAATCACAGAGGAGAGGGAAAGTGGGGGTGGACTCGAGAGTGGACATGCTACCAGGTGCCATGGTCAAGAGAAGTCGGAGGGTAGAGTGGCCCAGAGTCAACCTCGAGGAAGGAAAATTATTTTCATTCACTTTGGTAATGGAATTGGAACAACCTCTTCATCTTGTTTAAAAGCCCGGATGGAGAGGAAGGTGAGAGTATTTAAGGGAAAGAGCCAACTTGCTAAACTTCCCACTGCAACTCACAGGGTTCGCCAAATGCCCGCAGGCTCGGGAGTGAAAGGGAAAAACCTGAGAAGAATGAAAAGTGGGTCTGACTGTCCCAGAGCAAGCAAGGACTGGGTGCTGGACACCCTGCATGCCGCTGCCAGGCTTGTCCCCTGCACAGATGCCAAGCTACCAGTCACTTTCAGAGCACCCCCTTGTCAACCTTGGAGCCCAACTCCTAAGGAAGAAGACATGGGCAAAACTGGCTGGCAAGATCAAGGTATCAAAGGAAAGATGGTCTGAGAGTAAACAAGAGAAGGGAATAAAAGGTGTCTATGTGGGGTGTGTGCATGTGTGTGCATGTGGGTGGAGAGAGCCAGAGACACTCCCACAACAGCAAACACTTACAGCAGTTACTGCAGGCCAGACACTCACTTCTCCATAGGTTTGAGGCTCACAACAATGCTTTTAATTTTTTTTTAAATTTTCATCTCCATTTTATATATGAGCAAACTTGAACTACAGGAAAAGATGATCCAGTGGTCAGTGGAAGATGCAGGATTTGAACCTGGACAATCTACCTGAGAGCCTTAGAAGGCATGAGGTGAGTAGTTCTAGTTTCTTACCCCTGGGTGGGGCTTTCTAGCATCTGTTTTCTTCCTAGGAGATCCCCATGTCTCATGTGCAGAATTCCCATATTAAGCAGATGATCGAGCCAGATAACCTGTCTCTGCAGGAAGGTACACAGGTTCAGGTTCTCTCTCCAGGGCTCTGGCGTCTTGAGAACCTGGTCACCTAAAAGTCACATTTATCACAATGGCAGCTAGGAACCCCAAACTTTTGTTTTAGTTCCTCTGTCAAACCTCTGGAGAGGTGTGCGTCCCAAACTGTCATCCACAGCCTCACAAATTACTCATGTCCTGCTGAAGACAGCCAGAGTCGGCTCTGGTCCTGGCCACAACAAAACAAGTTTGGTCCTATTAACCATGTCTTCCCACAGGCAGCTCCTGCTCTGGGGTCACACTTTCCATGTGTCCACGTAATACTGCGCCCACAGCCTAATCTGAGGAAGCAGTTTCTCCCACAAATGTTTCCCGGAGGCCATACCTCTTTTGAAAGATGTTAAAACCACCCACGCTGGCTTGAAATATAATTATTTTCCCTTGTCTCATTTTTGCAAATGTATGCAAAATGCTTATTAACTACTTGTCTTCTTCACAAATTATGGAAAGGCTTAATAACAGGCAGTTGATTGTCCCTAGTCTCCTAAACACAAAAGGTTGGGTCAAACAGATATCTCTCAGCTGAAACACCTTGCCTGTTAGACCTATTAGAGTTGTTTAGAAACTCTAGTGTGTGCAAAAGTCATGGGGGAGGGTGGCTTGGAGGCGCTGATTCCTAGCCCTTGCTCCCAGGGACTTGGAAGCCCTTTCAGGAATGTGCATTTTGTAGGACCCAAGTGGATTCTGATGTGGAGGGTCTTTCACTGAAACCAAGCCAAACATAGGGAAAAACTCATCAAGGGGTTTT